GCTGATCTTGAATACGCGATATTGTGGCCTAGACTGAGAGAGAATGAGACATAAAACATTCAGATGCGCTGAAATCTGATTCAGTGGTTTGATTCGTTGGTCATGTGACGCCTGATGACAGCCATTAAAGGGAATGCTTCACATTTGAAGATACTGAAGCAAGCATCAGGTATGATGAAACAAGCTCACTTATAACTATTGGTGTAAGTTTTAAGTGGAAAGGATCACTCTAGGCATCACAATTCTCTGCTTAGTAACTATGGTCCTCAATGCTTCACGGCTTGATTACGTCATCGTACACTGCACAACATTGATTGGGAGCCAATTGGCGGCCGTTATATCTGGAAATCATGCTCACGAACGTCAGATATTAGCGCATCGACAATTATATTTTAGGGAGGGCTACCCGTGCACCCAAACCTGTGTGCGTGTTAGTGCTGTTTTGCGCCCGCTGCTTAAAGCTGCCTGCGAAGGAAAGCCCTGAAAATGAAACTGCCAAATATGCTGTGCAATTCGCTAGTCAGCTCATGGTGCGCCGGAACCAACCAACTACAGCGCCATCTATACGGGGCTGCCGACAGTGATCTGTTTCGGGCTCTTAAGGCGAGCGAAACACACCGTAGAGCTCTGAACACATCATGCTGCCTACACTGAGACGTGCATCGCTCAACACCAGGCTCTGATTGCCGAAACTTCCGCACCCATGATTGAACAAGTGCTCATACATGGGAAGAAAAAAGGCTCACTATTAACCGGGCACTAAAAATGGTTTTAAAATGACCAAAATGAGCCTGATTACCAAACTGGGTGACACACAACCAAAAAGAACATTTCACCGCCAATTGGATTACTGTCAACAAAATGGACGTTTTCAACAGCCAGTTTGACAAAGTCGTTGACTGAAATGCCCGTGTAAGTCACCAAACACATGGGGGAGATGTCAAAAAAGAATAATATTCACTAGCTTGACTGAGGTTCTAAGACATGGGTGAAACACATCATCAAGATACGGTCGGAGATCAACAATTTATATCAGAAATTAGGATATTCAGCCCAGCAGCAAACACGACCATATTTAAAAGCAAACGGGCATCAACTTGCGACTGTTCTGGGATGCAAATGCCATTAGTCACATTGGAGCTGCGTTCTGAGAGCGAGTCGCCAACTAGCATTGGATTTCGTACGCTAAACATCCAGGGGTGCGGCCACCTGGTGGGAAGCGGGAGAGGGCACAGAGGACATACCCTCCCGCTACACCCTGAGTGGCCTTCGGGACCCCCGGCACAGATTACAAAGGGCCCGATTGGAAGACCCGAAGGGCTAACGGGGGAACAGCCCCGGGCAAAGGCCTGGCCCTGAAAGGTCAGCCAAAAGGCCTCGTTGCGCCTGTCTGGTGTCCCCAGTACGACGAAGGCGTCTGTATAGATCCGAGACCACCAATGTTTAACAGCTGGCTCTGAGTCGGCTTGAGCCCTGGGACCCTTTTATGAAGCAGGAACAAGGCCGGTGTTCGCCATTGTTACTGAAGGCCTCCTGCGCTGGCCGGGCCCCTGGAACAAGGTGGCTCCCTGTTTCAAGGCACAGAGTGCTTAACAGGGGAACCTGCATTAAACAACCTTCCTGATTCGATTGTTTTGGGATCAGAACTCACGCAAAGCAAAATTATTGTGTATGCTCTGGGACCCCACCTTCCTATTGTGAAATTACAATGCTACAGCAGGACTTAATGGAAAAGCCGCGTGCACCGTTATGCTTGGCACGGTCCCCTGCCCTTTGACCTCCCTGTCATTGAACAACCGCCGCCCCCGGCCGCAGGCCATCCAAGTCAGAAGTCAAATAGCGAGTGCACATAGACATAGACAAGATCGAGAACCCATCCCCACCCCATCGCCACCCCTACGTGACCAGTTCTCACTGAAATGCCCTCCCCCACTCCCAAGTTTAATTATCCTGGATGCGCCCCTGCGAGCGCGTACATAGGGACTTGAACCCCCGTGCCCCAGACTTGAACCTCCGGACTGAGATCGCCGGCAGTGATACCAATTAAGCTACGGAGGGTGACAAACTGTTGCTTTTGGTCACGATTCAATTCATTCCGGTTATCGTTCATGCCCCTCCACCTGTAATCGGAGGCTAAAGCCCTGGTGTCTGGTTTGTTTACTGCAACATATTTTGATTGGCACCATTGGTGATGACTGAGCCTTCAGATGAAAAGCTGGCCGTTTAGGCTTGCTGACTCAGTTGGTGATCAGGGTGCGCATTTTGGTGATGGGAATAGTCATTCAGGTTTATCAAAAAAGGATGTGAGGTCATGAGCCTTAAACTCGCTGAGTGAAAGTCTGGACGTTATGCCCGCGTGACCAGCAATGCTTTGAGCGAAGGGAAGCTCTAAAACCAGGGCTAAAGAAATAATGCGACGTTAACTGTGCGGTTGCTTCCGTTTCGTTTCACACGCGATACAGGTTTTCGGGGACAGCAGAGGCAGTGCGTAGCGAGAGTAACTTGCAACTCAATTCGCAATTCACAGCAGTTTACATGAATGTTTACGGCTATGTCCAGCTATAAGCCACTAATGCGCGGGCTTGGATATTGAAGCACAAAAACCTACTTTGATTTGCATTCTGAGCTGGTTGGCAGTGGCTCAGGGTCATGCAGTTATGCCATGGAATAAAGTGATCAGTCAAGCAGTCAAGTCAGCCATGGTAGTGGACACGCTAGCATTTGAACCCGTCATCCTGCCTGAAGGAGGTGGCGATGTGGCCCGCCGTGTTCTCCGAGGGCCACTTTGAGACGACGTCCAGACTGACGGGGGATGGGATCGCCACGGCTATCTTGGCTATCCTTCGAAGTAGTTCCGTGTGAATCAACTGCAGGGACGCGGGGGTTCGGGACTATGACATGCTCACATTGGATCACCGACTGACTGACTGACCCACTCACTGACCGCCGGGGAGCGATCCATTGTTTGCAGCGCCAGTGGCATGGAATGGGACGCTCCGTTGAGAGCTTTGGGCCCCGTTATCGGGCCCGCATTCCGTGCTTGAGGCCCTCCCTCTCCCCGGCCTCTCCAATCACGCGTACAACTATGAATTCTCCAAACACATCACCCCCTTCGCCTGAATGTGAAGGACACCCGGGCGGCGTGACGATGCCTGGGAGGACCCCAGTGACGTCAGACCAGCTGCGTTCCGTCGCACGGATTGCTACGCAACTACCGCCTGAGCAGCATCGTTGGTCCGTAATGGCGGCGCGGCTAGTGTTGCCGTGGCTTTCAGTACACAATACAGCAGATCAACAACTATCATCTTATCATCCCTTGACGTCCGGCTTGGTATCACCACGACCGAGACCCCCCCCCCCCCCCCTCTCCCGCGAGAGTAACGCTCCAGCCAGCTACGTGCAACACCGGCGCCAGATGCAAAATTTCATAACCTACGAGAACAGTGATTGCTGGACATTGTGCCACGGTCAGCATTAGTTTCTTGATCATGGACAGATTTTTGGAACGACGGGCAACTGTCCACCACGCAGAGCTCTCTTTTAACTTTGATGCGATTTGAGGTGTCCAGGAAAAGCTTGCTCGATTATAGTGCTGCTGTAAACACGTCGGCTTCCGTAGCAGCATGCTAACCGACTACACGGATTTCATTCCAACCATTTCACCCGAATTACGTGGTGATTCACCAGTGGATCATTTATTTATGTACGCGTTCATATAATATCTGTCAACTGTTACAGTACAAACAACAACACACGCACGTATGTACACACTAACAGTAGCCGGTGAAAATGCCGCGACAACCTGTCTACCCTGGCGGCCGGCGGTCAACACTGCAGTACAACCTTACACCGATAGGTGGCAGCGCGGCGCTGCCGGTAACACGTATTGCACGCCCGCTACGGCCGGCTGCGGAGGCCGGCGGCGGGCCGACCAGCCGCGTCCAGCGCTGCGCGCGGCAAGACAATCAGTGGCAGTTGAGCGCGCCCCGAGGCAAGTTACCTCGTTGTCCAACGGCCGTCACGGAAATGCATCAGTCACCGGCGCTCAACACAGTCTCACGATCACCAATAGAGTGCTTAAGTTGGAATGACGCAACTCAACGAATGCATCGTAGGCGAAATGGAGAGAGCGCGCGCGCGCGCGCACGGTCATTGGCTAGGATTAGCCAGGAATGCATGGCAGGGACGGTAGGACCGCCTCCGGGCGCGTTGACGGGGTGAAGCGACGCGGGCCGCGGCCAGGCCCGGCCCGGCCCGCCGGTCAGCGCCGGAGCCCACAATCTCAGCCCACCGAGCCCGGCGGCCACGCACCACGTACCCACAGGTACTCGGGAGAAGGGGGGGGGGGGGGGGGAGCAGGACGGGCTAGCACAGACGACACCGAGTGGACCACTAGCGCGTCCTAACGACAGACTGAGGAGTTACGACGCTGCGGGGCGCGCGGCGGTGGTGACGCGTGGTGGCCGGCGCTGGCAGCCTACCGCTCCTCGCTCTATCACAGTGCGCCTACAGGCGGCCAACAATAGCGGACTACCAGTGCACATGCAACCGCGCACTTACAAAATAGCGGTCCGGGGCCGGGTGGAGCCTGCGCCACGCTCACCACGCGCCCCGCTCCCGCGTAGACAAAATAGACTCTGACTGCGCGCCTCGCGTCGGCTGGCGGCCGCCGGCGCGCGCCAGCACTGAGCGGGGCGGGGCCAGCACCCACACACGCACACGTTTGTACAGAAAAGATCACAAGGCATCTAGGACACGAGGCGCTACCGACAAGAACGCGCGGCGAGTAGAGGCGGCGGAGGTGGCGGTGACGGTGACGGTGGCGGTGGCGGTGGCGGCGGCGGACGCGGCAGCGGCAGCGGCGGCGGCGGCGGCGGTGGCGGCGGTGGCGGCGGCGGCGGCGGCGGCGGCGGCGGCGGCGGCGGCGGCGGCGGCGGCGGCGGCGGCGGCGGCGGCGGCGGCGGCGGCGGCGGCGGCGGCGGCGGCGGCGGCGGCGGCGGCGGCGGCAGCGGCGGCGGAGGCGGCGGCGGCAGCGGCGGTGGTGGCAGGGCGTTCACGTCAACGCCCAGAGCTCGATGGCGCGGATAGTGAAGTCCTCGCCGCAGGTGAGGGGTTCGTTCCGGTAGGTGAGGCAGCACTGCGTGCGGCCGCGGTACAGGTCTCCGTCCAGGTACAGGCCGTAGTGGCCGCTGCCGGGAGAGGGAGGACGCCGTCAGTGCGACCGACGCCACGGACACGGCGGCGTCCCGCTCTCGCCGCTACGACGGCGGCGGCGCCCGGTTCGACACGTGCGTCGCGGACCACACAGCCGGTGTCCGGACCGACGGATGGGCGAGGGGACATGCCCCTGCCGGTGGTGGCACCGCCGCGGCCACCCAGGCGCATACCCGGTCAAGGTCCACACGACACGACACGTAAATTCGGCCGCTGATGCTTCATCGCGCATACAGCTTAGTGTCCTTGACACAGCATAATGGCGCCGAGAAACCTGCAACCTAATTTCCTTTATTTCCGAGCGAAGCAGTCCCCTCGGTCACGCCCGCGGCGGAAGAGCGGTGCAGTCCGACCAGCCGCCGATCGCATCTGCTGCGTCTATCCGGGCCCCACATATCCATCGGCCGATGCAACAGACGTGTTGGCAGCGTGCGGCCTGACCGCGCCATCCGTCTCCGGCTGACGCTTGTTACAGCGCCGCGCCGACGCCGTACACGAGCCGGCCCGTGCAGGGTCTTTGTTGTGGCGGTGGCGCAGACACCGAGAGCGCCGTCTCCTTCAGCTCGACTGGCACGTCCGCCTGGCCGGCCCCGGGACCGAACGTCGCTCACAGACAGGAACACCTGTCAGTCTACGGCGCAGTGCGGAATGCATAAATTAATTGAATTAAAGAGGCCCATTGCTCCTGCTTTTTTACATTATTTACAAGACAAGAGCAGGCTTACAATCTGGCGGCACCACCATGTTAATACCGCAAGGCTCTGCCATTATTTCTGTAAAATTTGAAGTTCCGAATTTTCTTCCTTAAAACAGCAATTCTGGTCTAATTCTTGAACGGCGCTATCATTTATAGCACCGGTGTGCCAGGTGCCAGTCGGTTGGCCCGCGCTGCGCCTGCGCGGCCCGGAGATGTGCCAGCGACGGTGACCTCTCAAAATTCTCCTTCGCCAGGGCCTGGGCCGCCAAGCGCCGGCCGCCGGCTGGGCGGCAGTTGGCGGTCGGCGCCCACTCTAAGCTGGCCGCCGCGCCGTCGCGCTGTGACCCAGCCAGCAATCGTAAGCAGAGGCGCACGCGGAGGGAGGGCTAACTAATCCCGGGAAAGCGTGCATACGGTATGCTCGCAATACCAGGCCAAGGCCACCCGGACGCTGTTTACAGCGCCCACTTGCGGACGCCGACTACTACCGAAATGCGTTTACTAACGACGTTATTACGTTACCCGATTAATTGTGACGTCGTATTGCAATCTTCTGTTTGAGAAGAACACAGCTGCTGCCTGCATAAGTACTAAATGACACAAATCCAGCCGTATACAAAAGCTGGACAGCTCGAATGGTAGGGGGGAGGGACTTGCCAGAAAACAAAGCCGTCGACATGCTACACAATGTTGTCAGGGGTCAGCCGACCGGAAGACTACGGAAGCCACAGAACCCTCCTCTACAGACTATCAGCAGGTGGCGGCGGGGGCCGGGCCACCGCCCGCCGTCTGGGGGGCAGGCAACGCCGAGCAGGTAACTCACTCTCCGGAGCCGAACTCCAGGCCGTCGGGCGAGCCGCGCGCGAAGTACAGGTTCTCGCCGCTCCAGCCATACGTGCGGAACTGCTCGTAGAAGGTGAAGAGGAACGTCTCGCCGGTGCCGTAGTAGTGCTCGCTCATGTGGATGGTGGTCGAGCAGAGGGCGCCAAATACCTGCCAGACGAGAGCGGACGGGTGACGGCGCCGCACCGGGGTCAAAGCTCAGCACAGCCGAACATGCCGCTCGAGCATCCGTCACGGCTCCGATGACGGCCACGGCGGGGCGCGGCACCTTCGCATGTCAGAGGTCACGACGTGTACGGACTTACGCCGACGTCACGGTCTGGCGTACGGGGGTCGCAACACCGCAAGAATGGGCCACCGTGAACTACCAGCACACCAGCCACCGAACGGAGTCAGGCATCGCGCGCCGGCTGCTGTCACAGGACGCGGCCAACAGTAGACGGGCGGCGTAGCGGCGCCTGGCACACACACGCGCACACGGCGCGGTTGCCAGGGTGCCATCGTTATAATCGTATCGCGCTGCCGCCGCTGCGAGGCGATGCTTTCACCGATTCGTTGCATCAGCGGCGGGAGAAGAAGCATCCGGGCTGAACCTTGGGGAACGTGCCAGGCGTGGGCGCCACTAACACCCTGAACACCTCTCTCCAACTGGCCGTGACTGCGGCATCCGGTGATTCGCGGTCAATCAACCCTCCCTCCCGGACAGAAGGTGGACGGTGGAAAGAGGAAGGGTCGCGGGAGCCGACAGCGCGCCAGACAGCTCACTACGATGTCACGCCGAACCAAGCCCGGTCGGGCTGGGACGCGCCGACCTCCCGGTGGGGCGAGGCCGGTGGGGTCGAGGACCGACAGCTGGGGTCCAGCAGGCTTCCCGAAAGGAGGCTGACCCCGGCGACCCGGACGCCGACCGGCCGCGCTCGGGCGGCGCGCCATGACAACTGCCCGATCAGGATGAGCGACTGCCACTGTCCGCAGTGACTAGAGCATCTGGCACCGGCCGTGCAGCCGTGCGGTGCTTAACGGCCGCTTCTCTCCCGAACGACCCGGCTCAGGGGCCGTCCCGCCTGTCTTTAACACGGCTTACCACCCGGGTGCGGGCCAGGTGGGGAATGTGACGCCCCGCGGCGGCGGACGTCGCCGAGGTCGCCCAGGCCACTCACGTGATCGTTGGTGTCCTGGACGAACAGAATCATGGGGCACTCGTAGGCCGACGTCTTGCGGTACAGCGACTTCAGGCTGAAGCCGTGCTCTGACGAGCTGAAGATCAGCGACCACGGATGCCCTGCCGAGCGAGGAGACGTCATCAGCCGGCGCCGGCTGGTTGTTACGCGGGACAGCCTCTGCCCAGACCACAGACGCCTACCAAGACAGCTAAATGTGCAAATCCCCCATGAAGCCAAACAAGTTCTTAGTATCGGATTACGCCAAGTCACTGGCATGCACAACAAAGCCTACGCTTTCATTTCCAAAAAGTATAATTGGAATGTAAAAATACACTGTCAGATGGGACGACCAGCTGCACTCGCTCTGAGAAGCCTTCAACCGCCGCAGCCGGTTTAAGTACGCAGCCACAGCAATTCATGCTCCGTTCCTCTAGCTGGCCTGGAGCGGCCCATCCTCGGATGAGCTGGATCCCAGGCAGCCCCCGTCCCTTCCGTGCAGCTCACGGTCATCAGCTACAACTTAAATCACGAAGTCAGCCGGCGGGGCTGTTTTTAGTCACGTGCTGTTGCCTCCAGTAGCATGCAGTAACACGAGAGCTCGCTGTCAGCCACAGTTCGCCCGCCTCCACCGAGCCGGCACGGCCGACAGCCAGCGTCAGCCGGCTGCGGCGCACAGAGCGCGCCGGCCCGCGGTGGAGGCCTCCCTCTGGCCGCAATATCCCCAGTGCGCCGCTCTCGCAGCTCGGTGCCGTGCTCGGTGAGAGGCACGGGGCACGGCGACGGACCGCGCCCCGCCAGCCACCCGCCGCCCTGGCTCGCCTCGCCGCGCCGGCGCGACGCCGGAGCGATGCGGGCGCGCGCGCGACCCGGGCATGGCTGGGTACGGAGCCGGAGCCGGAGCCGGAGCCGGAGCCGGCACTCGCAGGTGTTCATCGATCGGTGGGAACTGACACCACATGGAAGCTATTTTCACATCCGCCGGCGAGTATTTGACTCACCTGGCAGATCACGACCATTTCATGTGCAAAACCTTTAACTTTCCCTCGAATGCGATTTAAGAATACAGAACCAGCAGCATTCGTCTCCAACCTTCAAGAGAAGCCAACGTGTTACCAACAATATACAAGAAGCGGACATGGGAAGGGGTACTTGCGAGCCTAGCAAGTAACCATTGCTACCCGCCGGCCGTTGTACGTCCTCAGCCACGAACACAAAGCGGTCCTCAATCTATCAGCTGTTTGGCTAGCAGCTAGTGCTGCTATAAACATGTCGGCTTCTGTAGCAGCATGCTGACCAGCGGACCGAGGACGACTGAAGACTGAGGACATCCCACGCGCTGATGGAAGCTGAGAGCAAACAATTCACCGCACTGGCCGACCAAGAAAAATCAGGACCGCTGTACCGAGTCATCAAAAACACCAAAGCCGAAGAAATGGACAAAAACATGATAGTAAACTAAACCGTCAACGGAACAAAAATAAAATGGAAATCTCTCATCGGTCAAGGTCACCAGAGCTGTAGGGTAACACCTAACGCGTAGAACGGTTCCGAGCGCTTCCAGGGGGCCCACAGAGCGTCCGCAACTGCGCTCGCGTCAGACAACGAGTGGGGGAGACGCATAAGGATACTTCCTATCCCCTGATCTATGACGTCAGGCAGCGCACGCGAGGCGCGCGCCGTCGGCCGCAGGCGGTGCTGCGTTATTCATCCTCTGGCGCCGCCGCCTCTCGGTGGTTTTTGTTGCCCTCCGGCCATCCGCCCCGAAAGTTCCCGATACCCACCCTGAGTCAAAGGTTCCCTAACTCTGAGAGACCAAGAGACTCTGTTCCCTCTCCTCGAGGATCACGTGCCCCCCCCCCCCAAACACACACCCACTTGTTGCTTCGCTGAGGAGACGCAACGACCCTGTCGTCGCATTAGCTTCAGGCTTTAGATCATAGCGACGCCCCGCCCGGATACGAGGCACGCCTACAGTGAGCCGCCCCCCCCCCCCCCTTCCGCCCCCGGCACGGCGGGACGCCGCGGCTGTCCCCCGATTGGCCTCGGCGCCGGCAAGTTTCCCGCCCGCGACCCTGAGTGGCGCGCGTTCGCGTGCGCCGGCGCGCGGGTCGGACCGCTGACCTCCAGCGGCGCCCTCTGTTCCGGTGCCGCCTGCCGCCGGCATCCGCATGCCTCCGATCCTTCTGCTGCGAGCGGCAGCTCGGCCGCGGCGCCGCCACCGTCGCCGCCGAACGGGCCACTGCTGCGAGCGGCAGCTCGGCCGCGCCGCCAACACTGTCACCGCCGAGCGGGCCACTGCCGAGCCGGGTGCCCTCCGCCCGACAGCACGACTCACCCTCCACCCGTGGCGGTAGCTTCTTGCACAGACTCTTGCGGATCTCGTCGGTGAGCAGCTCCGACTTGCCGACCAGGTCCGGCACGAACTCCATGTCCATGGAGGTCATCGAGTTGGAGCAGAGCGCGCGGCGCAGCTCCTCCGACATGGCGCTCATCTGAGGGTAGGTCAGCCGGGGTCACGGCCAGGTCAGATCACGGCCGCCACGGGTCACGGCCGGTTTCGGTGGCGGCAGGCCAATGCCAGGCGGACAGCGTTCACGTGGGTTTGGCTGGTCATGAGTCAAATGCATACGTCTGACAGCACCAAAAGCCCGCAACAAGGCCGTCATGCATACGATAGTACCGATTCCCCATCAAAGATGCTGTTTAGGTTGGGCGTTCGTGGTACGTAGTGATCAGAATCTTTGATCAGCCCGATGTGGAGAACATGAGACAACGTTATGGCGCTACCGGTACCGAATTTGGAGGAGCATGGGTGTTGCAGCCGCCACTGGAGCAGGCCTTTAATCGGATAACACGCCAGTAGCTAGCACAGCGGTACAGGTAGCGAACAGCGAGGTGCGACACGGACGCGTCTGCACAGCCAGCCAACACATCCAACACACGGCGACCGCGCCGACGGGCACGTATCGGACGGCCGCCTCCGAAACCCGGCCACAGAGCGACGCTGCAGACTGGACGCAGACCAGGGCCGTGGCCGGCCGTCTGGCAACGTCGCCCGGCGGGCCCGGCCGCCGGGCCAGCCGGGCTCCCAGCTGGCGCCGGTAGAAAGTGGCGTCGGAGCTGCACCATCCGCGGGAGCTGCTTTCGCCTGGCGCTCTCGACCAGCCGCCGCACGCGCCGCCGCGCTCACCAGGTGACGTAACCCGAGCGCGTTACGTCACGCCGCCGGGCACAAGCACGTGTCGGCGCAACGGCCACCAGCATCCCTCCGCTGTCCTGGGCGCGGGTAGAACGGCAGACCCTCTGCTATCTCGGCCGCCGGCATAACGGCAGACCCCCGGCTGTCTCGGCCGCCGGCAGACTGGCAGACCCTCGGCTGTCTCGGCCCCCGGCAGACCGGCAGACCCTCAGCTGTCTCGGCCGCCGGCAGACCGGTAGACCCTCGGCTGTCTCGGCCGCCAGCAGAACGGCAGCATTCGGCTGTCTCCGCTGTCGACAGGCGGACCCTAAGCTGTCCCAAACATCGACAGGCCTGCGGCACTGCGCGAGCTGACGACAGGCCGACAGGCATCACCTGAACGCCCCGACAAGGATCAACGCCGGCAGCTCCACACGGTCGAGTCCTCGGGCTGACGAGGGCCGACGAGCACACCCTGAATGCTTGACAGCGCCCACAGAGGAGCAAACAACGCGAGTCCCCAAGCCGTCCGGTGTGGTGACAGATATGGCAAGCCGCCGGCGCGTCTGAGTCAACGACTACGCTGTCTCGGCCGGCCGCCGCACGCGGTGGCGCGTGTGGCGGCGTGTCTGGCGATGGGCCTCTGCCGCCAGCTCCGGGTGTCTGGCGGCGGGCCTCCCCGCCGGCTCCGGGTGTCTGGCACCGGGCCCCTCCCGTCAGCTCCGGGTGTCTGCCGACGGACCTCTCCCGCCAGCTCCGGTTGTCTGGCGGCGGGCCCCTCCCGCCAGCTTCGGGTGTCTGGCGACGGACCTCCCCCGCCAGCTCCGGGTGTCTGGCACCGGGCCCCTCCCGCCAGCTCCGGGTGTCTGGCGACGGACCTCTCCCGCCAGCTCTGGTTGTCTGGCGACGGGCCTCTCCCGCCAGCTCCGAACGTCTGGCGCCGGGCCTCTCTCCGAGAGTCGCATAGCACTGGCGAGTACTGCGTTTGCATTCGGCTTAGCCGCCGTACACAGGCTGCTGAGCCGGCCGTCGGCAGCGGGGATCAGCCAGCCGACCGCCAGCCGGCCGAGCCGGCGCGGCACGCACGTGCGCCGCTCTGACGTCACGCGCCGGCCACACGGCGCCGCCACGTGCCGTCCGCCGCGCCACGAGGCGCCGTCCACGGCCGCTGACCCGCCGGTCAGGGGCGAGGTCACGGTCAAGCGCACGGTCACCAAGTCTAGCCTGCCACTCTTACATCAGACACGGCGGGACTCTGCCGCGCCGTCGAGGCGAGGCCCTGTGGCGCGCCTGCCGTGCCGTGAGCACACCTCGGGGCCCCGGCGAGCCGGGGCCGAGCGCCGCCGCCGTCGGGGGCGGCACGTCCGGCGGCGCCTTGCCTCCCTTTCTCAAGTTTCTCCCTCAGCGTGGAAACGGTGCCTCAAACCGCACCGAGGCCAGATTCGAATCGTTTCGGAAATCGCAGACCGTGACGACATAACCAGTTCAAACTTGTGCTGGTCGGCCAGCGTGAAACATCCCGCAGTCGTGGGAAACACCACAATGGACTGCTTAATGTTGGCGTCAACTTGCTGGTTCGGAACCCACTGGCGACCATGCCCGTGCCACTACAGTTTATCCCTTGACAGGTCAAACTGGAGTGAGTGAGGTAGACCATAAAAACAAAACCTGTTTCAGGAGAAACCAGTCTAGTACCTCGAAGGAATGCCGAAAGCCGCGCGGAGGAAGATCTGGCGGCAAAGGGCTGCAGCAAACATGCGCAAGAACAAAATGAGCGAGGTCGGAAAGTGCTTGAACAAAAAAAAAAATGCGTGAACAGGAACGAAGTCGACACATGACAATGGCACCAGAAACGCGAAAGCAAACAATATATAACATTACGACGTCTGTAAAGCGCGCGTTCCTGGCTGACCACCGCAAGAAAAGCATCCGCTTAATCGGCGAGCTGCATACCGCTTACACTCGATGCGGTTGTCACGGCCGGCAGGACGCTTGCATCTGTCACTGCGCTAACCGGCTAGCAGGCGCGCCGGGCGCCGCCGCTCGGCCTTGGCTAGCTCGCCGCCGCCACGCTCCAGCCTGAGCGGACGGCACCAGCCGCCAGTGCGCGGCGCCACACTCCCGGCCGGCCGACGCCGCAGCGGCCAGCCGTCAAGACCCGGCCACCGCCTGTCGTGTCAGAAAACACGGCGGCCGGCTCTGGCCTGCACTGACCCCCACAGCCGCAATCACCCGACCCTATACTGTTACGGCTCCCGCCCCACGCTGTCACGGCGGCGAGATCTGATCGACTGCGTGACTCGGCGTGACTGCGTGACTCGGTGTGACTGCGTGCTCCGCGTGACTCGGCTTGACCCACTGGCAGCAGCGTCCGTCCGCAGGGCGGTGTACTGAGGTAACCGGCGACATGGCGCTCGGCGGCCGGTCGCTGCCGGCCTTGGAGCAGTCTGATGATCGGGAGAGGGCTCCGCACTTCCTGCTGCCGGGGCCGAGACCAAGGGCGGTACGGCGGCGCTGCGTCCGGTTCACACGTCCCGGCATCGGCATCGGCATCGGCAGCGGCGCGCGTTCCCGACGGGACGCCGGTCCGGCTGCCGGCGGCGGAAGCTGGTCCGTCCGGGACCGGCACCGGCGGTGGACACCGGACGGCCCCGCCTCCGCCGGCGGTGGACGTGCCCGGCCCGACAGGAATGCTCCAGCCGCCGGCAGCCACGGCCCTGAACCCAGGCGAAGAGGCCGGCTGCGGCCGCTGCGGGGAGGCGAACAGACGGGGGGAGGGGGGGGGGAGGACACAGGGATCTGTCCGCCGCCTCCGATCCAGACGTCTCTCGGGGGCGGCCGGGCAGCGCTGCCGCACCGTCGGCCGACACAGCCTAGCCTTCGGCGCTGGACTGCCTAACCAACGACGGATACCTGAGAAGACTCACGCGAAGTAGCTCGTACGGTCAACACCGACGCAGTGTTCGCAGAGGTAGATTCACAACAAAGACAAAGACTTGACTGAACAGACCAGCAAGAACACATGGCGCTGGCACGTCCGGGTCGAAGGCAGTGCGGAGCCCTGTGCATGCTTTGCCAGTTACCATGCACAGACAGACGCGTAATTCACAAGACCTCAGCTGGTAACAAACGAAGCTTGTATACGAGCGCTGGGAGAGCCGGTGGCCTCGCCGCCAACGCAATACCAAGCGGACAGTCCAGTCCGGTCTTTGTCCACCGAGTTCAGGCTGCTGCACTGTCAGCATCCGAACAAGCCCTCCCGCAGCGCGGCCGTCCCGGGCGAGCGTCGGTTGCTCGTGCCAGGCCGACAGCGGGCTCAGACGGGCACGGCCGGCGGGCGCCGGGCGGCGCCACCGGCTCGCAACGGCCCCAGCCCGTTCGACCGAGGTCGGCGGAGGTCGGGCCGGGCCGCGCCAGGTCACGACTTCGTGGTAATGGGGCGCGGCCGGCCTCGGCTCCGCGTAGGTCGGCCGGGCCGGGCCGCAGCGCGCCCAGCACGGCAGGCCTGACCAGCCGCTGCGGCCGCCGTTCGGGCCGCGGACCGGGACCGACTGAAAGCAGGCCTGACCGACCGCCACGGCCGCCGCCCGGGCCGAGGACCCGGACCGACCGAAAGCAGGCCTGACCGGTCGCTACGGCCGCCGCCCGAGCCGCGGGCCGGGACCGACTGAAAGCAGGCCTGACCGGTCGCTACGGCCGCCGCCCGAGCCGCGGACCCGGACCGACTGAAAGCAGGCCTGACCGGCCGCTGCGGCCGCCACCCGGGCCGGGACCGACCGACGCTGACCACGGACAACAGGCGGGGACCAAACCGGGCCGGCCCGCCACTTGGTCTTCGCTCGCCGTCCGATGCCAGCTACATCGTTCATAGGACGCCGTCGGCAGGCGGGGATCGAACTGCCAGTCTGCCCTGGTCAAAAACGGGACAGATCCCGGCACGCCTGCGGCGTCCCGGGGCTGCTCAGCCTGGCCGGCCGGCTGGCGAGCGCACCGGCGAGCCTCTGGCCCGAGTCTTCGGTCGGCCCGGTGACGCCGGCGACTGGCACCGGCACAACGGCCGGGGAGATTAGACCGGCCGGCCGACCACCGACGTCCGCCGGCCTGCTGGACAGCGGCCGGCGAACGCTCCCATGCCGACGGCAGCGCCGAAGGCCGCGGTCGTCGGCAACCACCGCAGCCAGCTTTGTGCGGCGGCTCTAACGCTACGGGCTCGGGTCCGCTGGCACCAGCTCAGTGCCTGTGTGAACCGCAGCCAGTGTTGTCGCTTCATCGGGCTTGAGCGGCCGTCGGCTCCAGCAGCCGAGGGTCGCCAGG